CCACTTTCCGCAGCAAAAATATTGGAAATAACATGTACCTCGTGTTGAAGACCACGATGGGTGGCAGTTGAGAAGAAGGTAAGGTAAAACTGAAAAGACAGCACAGATTGAAGAAAACTAACTAGTACTAGAAAGTCTGTGTCATTCTGTAGCCACACTAATTTTCTCCTCACCAACCAAACCACTTTCCGCAGCAAACATACTCGAGATAGCATCCCCCGTGTTTAAGGCCCCGATTAGTGGCAGTTGACCAGAGGATGTCGCAAAACGGATAAGATGTCGAAAACGGATAAGCTGAAGAAAACTACTACGAGAAATCTTGTGCACCACGAGTTTCTCCCCGCGCACCAAACCACTTTCCGCAGCAAACATACTCGACATAAAATCTTCCGTGTTTAAGGCCCCGATTAGTGGCAGTTGAGAAGAGGACGGGGCAAAACTGAAAAGATAGCGCAGATTAAAGAAATCTAGTGCGAGAAATCTTGTGCCGTTCTGTAGCACCACGAGTTTTCTCCCCGCGCATCAAACCACTTTCCGCAGCAAAGTCATAATACGACATACCATCTCCACCCCCGCCCCCGCCCCGGAGGCGCGTCCCCATGGCCGGCAGGCCGTCGCCGCCGCCACCGCGGGGCCCGGGGACTCACCTCAGCGAGTGAGTAATGCCTCCTGCCGGCGGCCGTCGCTGGCGTAATGCGCCTGTATTAATAATGATGGGTGGACGCTCCGTTCAGTGCTGGGCATCGCGGCGCCCCTTGCGGTCGCGCCCCTCCCCCCCTCCTCTTCCTCCCTCCCCTCCACCCCTGCGCCGCACGTCAGTGCGCCACTTCCGTTTATTGACGCCCAATTGCATTATCGCCTCTGATTGTCCGGGCGCTGTGATTTAACATACGCATTTATCATTGCGGTGCGCGCACGTTCGATCGAGGGAACTTGTTTGCTACTGATTAACTAATTACGAAAACACGCCCCATCGATTTCTCCGCAGCTCGTGGACCGCGACGCCGCCGCCGCCCCCGCCCCCGCTCAAGCTTTCCTTTCGGCGCAGCGCAGTGGGTCAGTGCGAGGGTGCTCCTTGAAATTGTATTCAATTGTCGCGTTCTCGTTCTGTGTATGTGGAAATAAACTGTGTTTAACTGAAAAAGTACTCGTGCTCAATAATTGCGTTTCATAATAATGTCTTTATTTATGTGGCGAGACTCGGTTCATCAGCTTCTCTCCTCCGCCTAAAAGTAAAAAAAGATAATTGCATTAATAATTCGTTGTAATGTAATAATAGCAGCCCGTTTCAATGTTTCACCATACACAATTTCTTATTGGGGTTGCTGTCCCTATCTTGTAATTATCACTCAATAAGCGCCGTCTCTAACATTGTTCTGACATTGTTTTAGTGAGAGTGATTTTGCTTTTGGTAACTGGCTCTGTACCTCCGTTACAAATATGATGAGACAACTTGCCCGTAAAGGCAAACTGGCTCGCATCCAAAACCTACCCATTTCCACTCTTGACAAAATGGTTGTATGAAATGAAGGTCTTATTTAAGAAAAATATTTTCATTGGTTATGTGGGGTGTACATTTATAAAGTGACGGTTATGTGCGTGATCTAACTGTAATTTTAAAGAAAATGGAAACGGACTATTATTACATAATTACAACGAATTATTAATGCAATTAATTTTTCGGGGAAACCATTCTTATTTTCTATTATTTAGAACATACATTCAAAGATTAAATATGAATAAATCAATGCTTTTCCTCTCCTCTACATCAAAATTGTAAAGGAATCTAATATTAGTTTTCATATTGGAAACAACTGTTTACATACATTTTTTCTAGATATTATAAATTATATCATGCTGTACATACTTGGACGTTAAACCAAAAAACGACTTCTTTCGATTGGATGCAAGTGGAATTTAGAATTCTACACAACATTTCTCATACATTGTACACAGTGGTAGTATATTCATAATAGTCATATTTCCTTTCCAACTCGGAAGTTTTAACCGTGTACATGAGACTTCTCATGGGGAACAAAAAGTGCAGTAGAACATATTCTGAAATGCAATAATTGGAATGCAGTTTCTGTAGGCCAGACTCGACGGAAATTTATCTTGAAATAACGAACATGTGTGACAGTTTTGGAGTTGAACCGTACTGAAAGTTTAACCCTAAGGACAACCAAACTTTTGCTTCTGAATTAGTCCATCAGATTCACTTTAGTGATCTTAATATATTTCAAATGCCTGCATAATAAAAATGAAAGGTCTGTATGAAATATTTTAGAAAAAATAAAAGTTATAAAATTGTTTTACAACTTCTCCAACATGTGCTTATATGAACAGGCATAAAAATAGCTACAGTCAGAAAACATTTACCCCCGGCAATCTTACTGCTGGACTAGAGCATTATGTTGAAGAATTTGCAACAAAACAATCACATATTCAACTTTTACCTAGTTACAAATTAGTTTTAATTACTTATAGCAGATTTTTAAATCGGTGCAAATTTGTCTTGTTTGAAACTGTTTATTTCATAGATGCAATTGTTGTTAAAGCTGGTTGAATTACAGCTGCCACCGGGTTATGCCCATTTGCAGTTCAAATAAATTTATGTTATTTAAAACTATTAAGTTATAACATTCTCTCCGAAAGAAGTTTGGGAACCATTTTATAACACATCAAATATAATCTTTATTTTATGGTCAAGATAATTTCACCTATTGAACGTGAGGACAAATATATTTTGATTATATCTTGCAGTCCTTTCCGAAGTGACACAGATGACACTTTCTTTTATATTTTTAACTTAGTCCATCGAACAAAAAACAAAGATTTTAACGTAATTGTGGACTCTCCTGGCTATAAGAAATAACTGGAGTTTCCACGAAGAGATGACGCACGGCAGTGCTTTCAATAAACATTAGAATACGAAACTACCACTAAGAGTTCGAATAATAAAAACCTAGAAAGGTAACGCAGTAACTTTTTACCTAAAGAAAGATAGAGGGGAAAATAACGCTGGGGTCCCTCGTTGGCACCAGCGATGGCAGTGCGTCTGTTAAAATAAATTCTTTAACCCATACACACTAATCTACAGGAATCCAAGAACAAGCTCGAAGGATCAGAGCATCAACTGATGTCAGTGCATTGCCTCTGACAGAGAGATCCTATGGTTCCACTCCCAAAGGTGAAAGGATTTTCGACACTAGCTAGATAGCCGGGTCCACTTCAGCCGCTGTCAGAAGGAGAATTCTAGTGGCTGGTTGCTCTGATCGATAGTTTTTTTTAAGAGTTTCTCAGATCGACCATAGACGAATGCTGAGCAGCACCCTTCCCAACGGGCAATGGACAGGGCGCGATCTTTCCTTCCTCTTCCTTGTCCAGTCCACAACAGTTACTGACATACACTCGCATGCACTACACTAGTACCACACATGTAGACAACATAGTCTGAACGAATTCTGCCGGCCGGCTGCTTTCATCGGTAGTTTTCTGAAATTTCTCCGACCAACATCAGGTGAATGTCGGAGAAGTACCTTAACCAACGGGCAATGGACAGCGCACGATCTTTCCTTCATCCTTGTTCTGACCTCACCCCTTACATACACACACACACACACACACACTTACATGTGCTGAACCACTACACATGTCGGGAGCTGAGAGCTTCTTCCGACTGGGGCGGTGTCCCAGGAGAAAAACCCGCAACCCGGCGACGTGTAATTCGACGCCGGCCTACAGAGGGGGAAGATCGCCTTCCCCTTTCCGAGATTAAAACCTTCACTACACTTATATGACAAATGACCATAGCAATTGACGCCGCTGAAAATATTAATCAATCAATCAATGAATCATGAGTCCAGGTGTGAAGTCGACACAACGCATGACCATCTGCAGCTCAGCGCTCATGAAAAAGAACACTCTACACTCAATGCAAGCTCTGGACTTGTTTCAGCCACCCAAAACGACATGAGCGGTACTAATTTGAAAATCGTGCACACTGTGCCCCACATGCAGTTCCTTTTTTTTAAGCAGCCGCTCAAACCCGTTTGTGCGAATCAGGTCGCAAAGTGACTTCCAAAAACGGAAGCCAGCACTTTCAAAAAGCATGTCGCGCCCAGACGATATTTTTTTAAAAAGGGTGATAAAAGTACAGTGTTGCCAAAACGATTCCGGAATATGAATGCCGTGTTTAGAGTGGGTGGTTTGGTTTGGTTGAAAGTAGAAACTCGCTTCAGTTAATTTTGCGTCTGCGGTATTAAACAAGATTCGCAATGGAAATTTTAATATCCTTGCTTGGATAATTCGCACCTCGTAGATTCGTTAATAAATTCAGTTCTTTGAGTGGTTCAAGGCATACTGTCTGATTCGCTGTAAATCAAAGCACGAAACGTGTAATTTAGTCGAAATAGCGCTCTCTGGTCGAAGCCTAACGAGTGTCTTGGTTTCCTGCTAGGGGCACTGACTGGTTCTTTATGCTCTGTGGGAAACGTAGACCTTAATTAAGACATCGACATCTCTTGGAGAAAGGATTCCTTTCTGCAAACAGATGGATTTAGGTGTCTTATTAACTGTAATTTTCGAACGCTTGACTACCTTTTCCTGTAGTAAACAAATTCGCTATCTTGGAAAGAACGGTGAGTTGATATTTATCTATTTCATTTGTAGGATTTTAAACGTTGGAAAAAAATGTTCATTTATTTCATACTACGTCGTATTTCGGTTGTTTCCGAATCTCTAAGTTGGCCGGAAACAGGGACCTTATGGTTTCAGTATATCTAGAGTCGATTGTTATTATTTTCATTGAAACATAATACTGCGCTGTTGTATTGGTGGCCTAGATATTTTCACTTTCCATAGGAAGGTGTTTACATCTGTCATTGATTTACTAGCGATTTCTTTTCAGTATTTTTTACCACACATATTTTCTTCTATAGTTCAGTTGTACTCTGTATATTGTTGCATACATGATTATTTATATTTCTTTCTTGTTACAGATGTGGCTCTGAAACTATTAGAAAGTGCCAACTGCTTTCCGTCTGAAGTTCTGTTCGCTCATCAAGGTAAGGTATCTTAATGAAAATTGAATGTGTGTTCTTCTTCGATGTGCCCCAAGTTGCAACGTCTTGACTGTTTTTGTTGTTGTTTTTTTCATTTGAAAAGATCACATCTATAATACGAGGTTGGTAACAAATATTGAATATATACAATGTAATATTCCTTTATATATAATATGTTCAGGTGAATATACGAAAATATTAAATTTGATACATTCGATATTTCTTAACAATATTCTATGATAGGTGTTCCCTATAGCCGAAAATAGATTGTATCAGAGATAAGTATATCCAGAGTCCACTGTAGATATTGCCCTTCGAATAAAATCTTGCGCCCTCTTTTTAAGCGTTACAGTTCATCCTTAAAGAGAGCAAGAGTGATTGAGAGTGAGACAGTACCATTTCCGCAGCACGGAATCTAAGTTTCCACTCGTAGTACATCTCGTTACTTTCCAATACACAATACAGGGCACTACTACTAAAGTCACATGATTTTCTGTTCTAGCTCTAGCATTCCGTCGTTTACTCCCAACTGGGTTAACTTACTAACCCTTCTCTAGGTTGCGCCAGCCTAGCTGTGAACCCCGCCCAGTACCGCGCAGTGCGAACTCACCTGACAATTGGGAATAAAATGGTGGAATCTAAGGGCTGTATCACTGCCCACCGCGCTGTATAACAGAAGCCGGTACTGAAGCTAATGAAGTGTAATCGTGTTAGAGAAACAGCGACTGGGAACCAGAACACAGCGCGGACCCGCCCACGCCACTAAGCCCCGCCGACAGGTGTGGGTGGCTCGGAGTACCAATTGATATTACTGCAGTGCATCTGACCGGAAGGTCGCAGGATTTTACTCCCGGCGGTGCCACAGATTTTCATTACTAGACAGAATTCTACCTCTGTGTGGAGGGAAATTCTAGCAGCCTGCAAGGGATGGGTAGTTTTCCGTCTAATTTCCTATCAACACCGGGCGAATGCCGGAGCAGTACACTAACAAACGAATCATGAACATCGCGCGATCTTTCCTTCCTCTTCTTGTCCTATCCTCACCCTTTACACTTACATGCTCTACACTACCTCACATTCCGGTAGACCAGCCTGCAGCTTAGAGCTTGTCCCGGCTGGGGTGGTGCCGCGCTGTTGGAAAATACCTGTTTGGGGAAAACCCCGCAGGCCGACGCCTAAGTCAGCGACAGATCCAGCGGGGAAATATCACAGCCATCTTCCGATAAAAACATGAACTACACTTACGGAACTCATGATTTTATGAGATTATGCTGACTCACTAATCAATCAACGCAGATGCACTCCAGGCGCTCTGAGGTGCCAAGGCCTCCACAGAAAAATCAATTTCGGGAAAAGGTTCAGAATTAATCGCACACTAGATCAACTCATTTCATTTGTCCACACCACCAGGACACACATTCACGATGAGTTTAATTCCATGCTCCATTCTAGAGCAATGTTTTTAGAATGGACCGCTCGAAGCTGGTACGTTTTAGACTGTGGTTGCATGTTGAAGAGTGAGGTTTCTGAGAGATGAGAATGAGCGTCATGTTGCTATTACGCTTTCATTCGGCCGAGTCCACACGTATTGGATAAGCTAAGAATGATAGACTCGTTCAATTAAGTTCATAAATTGGTGTTTTATTTGAGGCTAATATGTTTCTTAAGTTTCGCGAACGCAATTGCATCTTCTGTTATCAATGTGAAAGTTGTCTCAAAGAAAGATAAAAATTCCAAAGTGTGCCATCGTTCAAGAAGTATTCTGATGACACAAATGTGTGCAATTCTTCAAAATCATGCCCTCACTGATAATTTGCAATCTACCGGCCACCACTGCTTCCAGCCCAAACGTGGAAGGGGAGTTTGCATGAGTAACATAATGGCCTGAGCAGTGTAACTACAGTGTTTGCAGATACTCATTATTTACAATTATATGTTCACCAACATAACCACTGTTGTCTTTTTCTGAGAATAATTCGATAAGAACACTTTCATTAAGTCTCGTACGACCTATACTACTGCTATCACAAAAATTCTACCCAGACAATTGTATTGCACAATACCTGATACGTTATAAATACCGTCAGTTGCGATAATTATTATTGTAGTCATCTGTTAAGCTTTAATCTGTTAATCCTTCTAATTTCCCGACCCTGAAGGTGTGTCATCACCATCAGCTTGGTCCTTCAGCTGACTCATCCGCAGGATCACCATCCCTGTCGATGCAGCATTGGCGGGGACGACACGGAGATAAACGCAGCCTGCATCGCACCAACCGCATTCCGTTTGATATATTATTAGTGACAAGACCTGATTGCATTTGATGGATTTTTAATTTATATACCAATTAATATTTCACGCAGTCTGATACAAAGCATTTGTGAATTTATTTGTGGTTTAGACGGATGAGCTCGACGAAGCATTTGTTGTACGCCGGCAACGCGGGAAGGGGGGGGGGATGAGAGTTGGCTTTGCATCCCATTAAAAGCCCCACTTGCACTCTCTGCTACGAAAGGATTTTCACATTAATATTGAATGAGTGGTTCGATCGTCATTTTTATACCCTAAAATGTGTTTATTCTTGTGTTGCTATTTTACTATTTACAGGAAACATGTACGTGCCGTGAATTGTTACCAGTGAATATGGTATTTTATTTCTATATTCTTTGGAGTATTTTAATACATTCTAATCATCTCATTTGTTGAGATTAAATGGGTTAAAGTGAATTGAAAAATCTATCTAATAATGTCTTGTTGAAACAATTTTCAAGAGAGTTATATTATAATAGCTATTTTAAATAAAAATATAAAAAGCACATAAAAATTAGATGAATTATTATTCTATCTTATCTACATCTATCTTTACGTATCTAAGTTTATCTTATCTACATCTATGAAAATATAACTTCTGTAAAACAAAAGAAACAAAATGGCTGGTAATGTGCGTCACGGTACTATTTCGACTTACTGCCTCGTCAAAATATTAATTTCGATTTCCTGTCATGACAATTTTACAACGATCAGATAATGCAATACATTATTTATTAATTACCTTTAAGTGTCGCAATTGAAGAGCAATAACAAACTAGAAAATATTGATACAACTGTGCGAGTGTGCATTATTGACCCAGTTTTATAAAAGGTTCTTTAATTATTCTAAATTGACAATTGATAATACATGTTCTGATTAGCTTCCATTCGGACCCTTAATGAAGTATTAAACTTAATTAGTGTCATTATTTTACAATTTATTGCACTTTCAAACCAAATTTATGCCGAACGGTTGTAGTTATAGATTATTCAAATGTAGTCTAAAATTGACTTAAAAAATTAAACATATGCCAAATAAATTATCATTTTTGATTGCCAATTTGTCTAATTTGAAAAATGTATTTTTACGCTTTTATTGGACTCAATAGAGACCTCAGTGGAGACTCAAAACATAGAATCTAGACTGACGTCGCGTTTTAGAAAATATGAAATTTGGACAAGAAGGGGAACCAAAAAAGGGACTAAAAAATTTTAATCGGCATACGTTTATGAAACTACCGTTTTAATGGAGATCCAAGACCGATATCAGCATCCAACTTCTTCAATATTATGTCAGTTCGAAAGTATAAGATAAAACTCAGTGGCAATTTTTGCAAAGAAAGTATGGCATTATTCTTATTTTATTATTGTGGGAGGTTGCATCCAGTAGTTGTTCTGATCGCGTAATTCATACCACCGTTTAAATCATTGATCAAAATATTTTGTTTTTTGTTTTTATTTACTTAGCTGTCTGTAAAACGTGTCAACGTTTCTGTCACCATACTGCGACCTTCCTCAGGGTGAAATGCCTAGGTCGCGAATGGCGGCCGAAACATGGTGACCAGATCGTGTTGTCTCCCGGACAGTCAAGAAAATACTGACTTCGGTCGCGAGAGCCTACGCTCTCAATGCACAAAAATCTTTATCCCTAAACAAAAGTATAGAATTTGTATACAAATGAATACATCCCTGCACAGCATTTGAGTAAAACTCCCAAATGGGTGGATATGCGATTGTGTAATGTGCAGTTTCGTCACTCGCTGTTAGACCACTTCTCGTGCATTAATCGAAACGTATGAGGTGTCATTCGACGAGTCTCGGTCACCTGATGAGAAACTCAATTTCTTTTCAGATTCGGCCAGAAAATTCAAAGAAATTTCCAAAAACTTTTTTTTTCGTGTTTTGGCGCTGCAATCTTAGTGATAAAGCCACGAATTAAACCAAAAATGCCTTCTTAATCGACCTATGTACGTATTTTAAACCCAGTACGCAAAAGTTTTTTTTGCTCAATACGCCGTAATTTTCTTTCGCGACACTGATGTTGACATTTATAAGTGAACAATTCAATTGCCAAGTAAATCGCGCTGCAAATTGATTACAATTTAGATTTAAACGATTGTATTTTTTAAAATATATTTGTGAAAACTTAAAGAATTTCAAGTGAATGCGGAGAAAGCAAAACTGTAAGTAATGCTAGAGAGCAAATGAACTTATTCATTCGACTTATCTTTTTTACGTTCTTGCATACATGTGTAAATACCGATTTTCAAATCCGTTACCGATTTTGACCCACAACTTATTTTTATTAAATTTAACTAGACTTCATTCACATAAACATACAAAACAGTCGCATTTTAATGTTAGATTCGCATGTAACGCTAGATTCGTATACAAAACGATTAATAGAGTAATTGTAGAAGTAGAAATAGAACTGTTTGTGAAATTTTAATGTCTTGAAAAAATGTGGGGAGGAAGATATGGAATTATTAAGGAAATCCGGGGAAGAATCAAATGTAGTTGTAAAAGATGTTGCGACAGAATTTTCGGAACTAATTGAGAATGATCTGCATTTTTGCATTTAGCATTTGTACAAGTGTAAATGTGTTATGTCCCCTTCTGTGCATATTGGCAAAATAGCGAAAAAGAATATCTTTACTAAAATTTAACTATTAGCATCATCAAAACCTACAAGT